TCAAGAGTTAAAAACTCAGTCAACAAAATCTCTTTATCGTCACGTTTAATGAGCCTGATTATCCCCACAACAGTTTTGTGATGAGATACGGTCGTTCCAAATAATTAGTTGGAGGTCGCGTCTCTCTCCTCCTCTATCACCCACCATATAACAATTACAGACATTTTATACATTTAAAGCACCACGAAAGGTAACCGCATTAATCAATCTTATTGGTCTGCGGGGAATGCAACCCTTTTTTACACCTTTTGTAGTCTTTAATTAAAGCGCTGCAAGGTAACCGCATTAATCAATCTTATCATGATCTGCGGGGAATTTAACCCTCTTTTTCTAGCCTTGCAGCCTTCGTATTTAGTGAGTGAAGGGCCGGGACTTGATCAACCCGCCTCTCTCAAACACTATTGTGCCTTAGGTCCAGGACTGAATACCCGACACTAAGCACCTAATCAAACTTTCCCAACTTGCATATGTATTGTATTTCCCACCGTGACTAAAAACACTGAGAACGCTGCTGACAACTCTAAATTTTTTAGTATAATCAATCACAGATTTTCGATAATCAAAACAGGTGTCTGCTCACCTTTTGTATATGGCCATTGGTTTAGTTGTCACCAGTATCTCTGTGTCCTCCCCCTGGACTGGATTCTGTCCCCCGGCTATCGGTGTTCCTTTCTAGAGATCAGCTCACAAACGTCGGGAGTCACCACTTGTTGGAGTAGAATACCTCTGCTACGCGCCGTTCGTTGGATGAGGCTGGATCTCTATTAAATTAAGAAAGGAATTGAAAACACCGGAATCAAAGTTATAACAAATTATCTGAGTTTACTTCTAGTAGGAAACCAAACACATATACAAGTTATACAGAGTACTCGAGTACTCCGGACTTTTAGATTTGTGATGCGATGCGGACAAATGCGTCAGGACCCGCCAACTCATCAAACCAAAAAGAAATTGGACTTCAGGTTTGTGATGCGATACGGACACAGTTCTCAGGACCTGCCACTCACCAAACCCAAAAGCCATTTTACACACACAAACATCAGTATTTCTATCTGTCTTTGGGGCGGAGATTTGTCGATTCTTCCTTCCCACTTTTCTCCCAAGCGAATTAGAGAACCCCTGGGGAGGAGCTGTTTAAGCTGACCACCTCCCCCAAGTGTCCTGACTGGCTGGATTCCCTTCTGGTCTGGTTCAATCAGAGTTCGGACCATAAAGTTCCATAAGGTCAAAAGTCAACCTCTATCTGTGATTAGAATCTTAACTTCATTTCTTTCCCATGAGTTCTCCACATATTTAACGATGTCTTTTAACGACTTAAAAACAGCACCTGGTCTTAGCGGTGATAAGGAGGATGTAATGTTGTCTTTAACGACCTCAATGACGACATCTGCTTTTAGGAGTGAACTCAAGGTTGGTGTGTGAAAACAGAATCTCTAGGTCAGTGAGTTTAAAAGTGAGAACAACATTCCTATATATATGATTACCCATAAACCGTTGTGATTACATAAAACAGTTCAAACAATACATGTTTACTTCAATACAGTGTAGAATCATATCTTCTTACTTCAGGAGTCATCACAAACGGACGTCGCTTCACGTGACGCTCCGGAGGAAAGGACGTCCCATTGCTCTTAAAACTCATTTCCCTGCTTCTCGTGGTTTCCTTGCGTCTCTCCATGCTTCCCTGGTGGGAGGGACTAAACGCAGGGAAACGACGCAAGTGAGGGACGCAAGGATTCCATTTAATCGACCTGAGAAGGACCCCTGGAATGAGACGTAACAAGTGAATGTCAAAACAAAACAGGAAGTGAAAGACAACACAAGAACGACCAACAACAACATGAAACATGACTGACTTTAGCACTTTTGACGGTGCACAACATTTATCTCCCATACGTCCTCCCCCACTTTACTAATAATAGATATGTTCATAACACTATTAATTATTTGTGTTAATTTAGTAGGCGCCGGTGTGTAATTTTAGTTCATAATTGCATGGAACTCCTTTTCATGCATCATTTATTTTCTGCCTCACTTTCCCAAACTTCAGATTTATTACGAGCTTGGGTTAACAGTCTTAAAGGAAAGAAATAGTAATAGTCTAATTCAGGGGTGTGTTGTCCAATTCTTATACAGAGGGCTTTGGCTCAAGACAATAGCAGCTAATATTTTAGCAGACTAAGTAGGTACATAGTAGTTCCTCTTGAAAAGATGCTATCATACTCATTAATAATGACACTGGCTATAAACAAAGCAAGACTGAAGGCAGAGCCAGGATTAGAAGTGCAGAGGGTTTATGCAACGGCATCCGTACTTATAGTATCAGTTTAGTGACAACTGATACAAGAAAAAAAGGGTTTTGCCTATCTGTAACATTGTGTTAATGTTATTGTCAGGGCTTGAATTGGGGGGGGGAAAGTGCCAGTACTCCATTATTTGCATATTAGCATGCGTATCAGTAAAAAAAAAAGTTATTCTCATCTGCTCCAGGTTAAATTACACTGCCCTTTATGCCAATTGTGCAAATTGCCCAACATTAAAATGTTTATATTTAAATAAAACGTTGGGGTCCTCAACATCTCCGGGTTCACTATGCTGGCAACTTGCCTAGAGCCTTAAACAGACCCTGAACAAAGCCCTGCTTTAATGTTCCACCTTGGTCTGGCGTGGCATGAGGACTTGCTTGTGGCCCTGTGTGGCCCTGATGCACCCAGCTGTGGGGGGGCCACCCTGGCACCATGTCGGTCATGTTCATGCCACAAGGGTCACAGATGGGGGGGGGGGACAGCAGCTGCTCTCAGGAGGCTGGCAGACTGAGCAGTGCTAATGCAATGCAGCTATTCGTGCACATATGCTCATGTGAGCATATTATGAGCATTCACACAGCACTACACACATGTGCATAGGAGATACTTTTGTCAACATGTTTCTGTAGCAAGGTCATTTATTTGGTCACTTTAAAAATAAATGAAATAAGATAACGAAAACAGAACTAAAAAGTACAAATATATACATAATGACAGTGAAAGATAAAAATATGTAGACTATCTGTCATATATACTGTATATACTAAGAAGGGCCAATGTAGGATATTATAAACATTAAGTATTCAAGGAACCGCATATTACATTTAATATAAAGGTAAAAGATAAAGTGTGAAGACACTTTATGAAGATGGGTGAAAAACGTTTTTGAAGGGAAAGTTGGTGGAGTCCAGTTATCAAAGCAACATAAGAAACTATGGATTTTTCATGTAGCGCCATCATCAGGTCGAAACTGAGCTCAAAGTCACACAATCTTCTTAGTGACTTAGTGATACGCTTGCTACTTATCATAAAGGTTCATTTTTTTTTTTTAATTAAAACAACAAGGTTATTTTTCTGCTAAACGACCAAGAAAACAGCAGATTTAGGTCATCATTCTGCAGGACTGTATTTTAGAAGCATAACTGTACATTGTATTTGAAATGTTTCTTCATTCACTATATCCAGAAAACCTTGTGCGTTAGAGCAGGTTCACAACCATTTTGTAGAGCTGTCGAAAATGTTGTTTCACTGTTTATCTATTCACCTCAGGGTCATTTTAAAAATGCATTTGACTCAAATTGCATTTGAATTTGTGATGTACTTGCAGCTTACCACATTCTCTCTCTCACACACACACACACACACACACACACACACAGCTTACCACATTCTCTCTCTCACACACACACACACACACACACACACACACACACACACACACACACACACACTGTGATGGTGGGTTAGCGCTCTGCTCTGGGAGATAAGATAGGTCAGCAGCGGTGCTGGGTGGGTGTGGGTGTTGGGGGGGCTGCATGGTGAATAGCAATGTCCAAGACTAATCGGGATTAACTTCTAATCGCTTCAACCACTGGGCTGCTATGCAAATCAGCTAAATTATAGGCACAGGCCCTGCCCCCTGATTGGCCCTTATCATGTCTGGGCTAGGACACAGCAGGGGGAAGGGAGTTGGGGGAGGGGGGGCTGGTTGTCCACAGCATGGCTGCTCTCTTGGAATAAACACTGCTGTAGATTATTTTCGTCTAAAAATAGAAAACTCTTTGATTCTTTATATTTAGGCTTTTTTTCATAATGCTAATTTATTCGGACTTTTCCCTGTGTTATTACATCAGAACCCTTGTGTTCATTAAAATGCACGTGTCTGTACATAGCTGGGGGGGGGGCTACTCAATATTGGTCCTCTCCAATCTGTGGTTCACAGCCTCTGGTCAGACGGCCATGGCGTTTGGATAATGTTCATCAGATGATTATAGTGATGGTTCTTTTTGTGCCACTATCAAGCTAAAGGGTATAATCATACACAGAAACAATATTTCAATTTAACTGGAAGATTGCCATGATGTTTAGCAAATTACATCATATTACACTGTTTAACTGTAGTGCACTTTTACTGCTGAGTAAAACATTTAAAAGAGTGATTGCTAGCTTTTAGAAGACATGATATTGTCCTTTTAAAGGCGCATCAAATCCTAAAACATTTATATGGGATGTTCTGAGCAACACATTTTGGCATTTAATTGGTAGGATATGTTACTTGTTGGTTATGACAAAACATAAATACTAACTTTACATCAAAATCATCAGTAACTCAAACATTTAGCTTTTTAGTTCACAATACTTAAGGATCAGTTACTTTTTACAATTTGAGGTATCAGCATATAGTGAATATCTTATGTCTATAAAGCTTCAAAGACCTGCAGATCAATAATATTCAGTTACTTTTTGAAATGTTGTGAATTTTGTATCCATATAGAATACTTTTTGTTGACATAATAGTAAAATATAATTGTGCAAAGGAAGTATAACCCACCTTCATTTTTACATTGTATCCCAATGTATATCACAAATTATGGTAAGAAAATAAATAAAAAAGCCATGAGTAGTTATTTCGAGTCTCCACTTGACAGCCAATCGTAGTTTATTTTAACCACCCTGTTATCTCATGTATTTCAGTTACGGACGAGTATACGCTGCCGACCCCTACAACCACACACTCACTCCAGCAGCCACATACAGCGTTGGTGCCATGGTAAGACCTGCCACACATCTGTCCTGCATTCATTATACCACTTCCTTTCTTCATTTCGACAAACATGTCTCCAAAATACACATTTGAGCTCAAGCATCTTGCATGTCATCTGCATGATTCACATCACTGAGAGCTGCACACACTTGAGAGGAGTGAGACTCCTGACCAAACATTCCATTTGGTGTTTATGGAAAATATGGAAACTGAGTTTTGGTGGCATATTTATTTTAAAACCGTGCGAAGCATAAAAATACATTATCACAGTAAGTTAAACACATAGGATTCTTGTGGAATCTCCCTCTTCTAGACTACAAACCACACTCTCCTCTTAGTGTCTGCAGTTATAGAGCTGGTTCACTGTTCTGGGACCAGGATGCAATCAGAATGGAACATCTCCACTTAACCGCTGAGTTTCCAATCAGCATTGATATGACATCACATAAATATGATATAAATGCTCCTTTCTTTATGCCTATATTACAAAATATACATTGTCCAATAATGCACCATAGCATCTTAACTAGTCTGGTTAAGGTCCAAGGAAAGCCTGAGCTGGAACCAACTAAGCTTTATCAAAGAGGCAAGCCATAAGCCTACTGTCAAATTTGTCTTGAAGTGGGGTAATATTGTATTGTAAGAACTTTAACATAAGTTGTTGCCTGATCATTGAAGGCTTTGAAGGTAAGGAGAGTGAATTATTAATTTTATTCTGGATTTTTACAGGGAAAGAAGCTAACATATATATGTTATAAATATGAACTTGTTTCCTAGTCAATACACTGGCCACCGTATCAACTGTAGAGTCTGAAACAAATGTTATGATAGCCTAATAATAGGAAATGACAACAATCCAACCTAGAAGTGAATAGAAGAACATATGTGACCTGCTCTATCGAAATCAGTCGCATTGACCCGAAGACACATTTTGAGTTGTAAACACTGTTGGAAAGAGGAGATTCCTAGCTTTCTAATGATATCAGGATTGTTTTTGTACTCCAAATATTAAGCAAAATATGTCACATTATATAATGACTGTCACCGCGTCGTCATTTTGAGAAAAAGGCCTTCAAAGTTTCCTCTTCTCTGGAATCCATCGATCTGATTGATTATTAGCGGAGCAAATGATCAAAATAGTCCGGAGGGGAAATATTTTCGTTTGGATTAATGGTCTGGGGGAAGCTCGCGAGTGTGTGTGTGTATGTGTGTGTGTGTATTTTTGCGTTTGTGTATATTGTGTTTGTTTCCCGGGGAAAACACTCACGAGAAACACCGGCTGTTGTTATGCCTGCTGTGACGTTAAGTTACTCCGTTCTCCGCTTGTAATTAGGCCGTTAAAAGCTTCAAAGTTGTATTTATCATCTGAATTTGCCGAAACAAGTTTAATATTCTGAAAGCCAAGACTTTGTTTATTTGAAATCAGATGAAAACAAACTGTAACGGACCCTGCCGTGTTATCTATGATTACTATATGCCTTACATTCATAATTTCAGCCGGAGGGAGGGGGGGCGGCGCTGCGGAAGAGCAGATTGCGAGTGAGAGGTGCCTGTCATCTTCCCTTTACAAGCTTCACAAATGTATTTATCGTGTGATTTTGGAAATAAAAGTTTCATATTCTGAAAGCCAAGACTTTGTTTATTTAAAATCAAACAAAACACCCGAACCCCGAAAAAATAGTTTTTTACGCAAATCCACGTTTATTTTGAAATGAGCCGTTGCGACTTCCGACTGATTTCAATAGAGCGGGTCACATATATCATTACATAATGCATTTTGGCGGTGTTTGAGGCCAATTACAATAACTACGCTTTGACTATGCGTCACGAGCTTGAAATGTATCAGTTTTTATTTGGGTATTATGTTTTTAAAGTTTATGTATTGTTTTTAAGAATATTGCAAAGAAGGCAAAGAAGATAAGAATAGGTCCAAGTACAGAACCTTGCGGAACTCCATGGTGTATCGAGACAATTACATTTTCTGATGCAATTGGGGGAAATATGTTTTGTCTTTTACCGCTGTGCCGTAAGGCTGTTTTGGTACTGGGTTCTCGGTTCCAGCCCGGCAGATTGTCGGTTCCAAATGGGAAGGTTTTTTTTGGGCTCCAAACCGGTGGTGGAAAAGGGGAATTTAGGCTCATATAGAAAAAGGGAAGGTTATATGTCCATTGTTGGTTTAATTCTCTGGATCAAGACTGGTCGTTTTAAAAATAAGTTTAATTTCAACCTCATAATAAGGAAAGGTTGATCAAATTCCACCAACTGCACTCTACAATCTTCATCCTCCATACTGTCTCCCTCCCCCACCCCATTATTTTCTTCAGTTGCTGTGCATAAGCTTTTCTGCAGCGTTGACATCTCCTCACTTTAATTTAATTTGTCTGTGCTGCTAACGGCAGTCCAAATTACACATTAATCCCGCCTGTAGAAGGTGATGAATGTCTTCATGCCTTGGCAGCCCAGTCCATGTTAGTTATTATATTTCTAATTTGGTGTATACCACCTCAACCTGCAATCCCTGGTAATGAAATAATTAGTCATTTTGATAATTAAATCCATTGCGACGCCACACACTGGGAGGGGGCCAGGAAGAAAGAAATGAGCTGGGCGGACCGGTTAGCAACATAGCCGTCCAAACCCACAGCTCAGAGTGTTGGCAAACACAAGAACATTGTCAGTCAGATGTCAGTGCAATAGACCAATAACTGGGAAATATGCTGTTGTTATGATATTGTACATGGCTTCATTGTTCACATAGTAATAGGAAATGTGTCACAAATCAGCTGAGGTGGAAGTAGTATTCAGATCTTGTACTTAAGTAAAAGTAGAAGTACCAGAGTGTAGGAATACTCTGTTACAATTAAAAGTCCTGTATTACAAATCTTACTTAAAGGGGACCTATCATGCAAAATGCACTTTTTGATGTCTTTTATACATATATAAATATGTGTCCCCGGTGTGTCGGGGAACTCACAGCGTCAGAAAATAAAACCCTTTCTCTTTTCCTCCATACCCAAATCTTTTAAAAAACGGGGCAACAACGAGCGGATACAGATTTGCTGCCGATATGACGTAATTTCGGATGGTTCAGAAAGTTGCTATCAGAAACAATGCATGACATGTTTTGGACGTAATCTCGTCTTTGTTTACATTAGCAAGCCTCGCTAACACTCAGAGCTAACCTGTACTGTAGAGCACATGTATTTAAAAAGCAGGAAATAAAAAAAGGAACTCACCTTGTGATAAACCCACAAGAGTAAAAGCATTTGAGCTCCATACTGTTTCAGAAATAATCCTTGATGTGGTTTAGAACAGGATGGCGTTTTATCACAGCAGAATTTAACTTTATCTCCGGTAGAATTCTGATCACCTCCTCTTTTTTTTTTTTTTTAAGCTAAGGACCCAAAATCCGCGTTTCTCTAACAGGGCTGCAAAAGAGGGGTATGAGCAGTATGAGGCATGGCTACAATGGGTGATCCGTTTGGTATTTTAAGCAAAAAACTTCACAGACATGTTTTGTATAGGTATGGCCCTACAATATATTTTTCCAATATAGCATAATAGGTCCACTTTAAGTAAAAGTACAAAAGTATTAGCATCATAGTATAGTAAGTATAGTAGTGATTGTGCAGATTGGTCCATTTCAGAATAATATATATGATATGTTTTATAATGATTGATCATGAAAGTGTTCTCAAAGCTGGTAAAGGTGCAGCTAGTTTGAATGACTTTGTATACTGCAGGGTAGCTTGTGGATTTACTCCAGGTGGAACTAAAGTCTGATTTAACACTTGATTATATTTCACATCATTCATCCAGATCTGTGAAGTAACTAAAGGTATTAAATACATGTTGTGGAGGAAAAGTACACCATTTACCTCAGAACTGTAGTGGAGTACAATTACAAAGAAGCAAACAATTGAAATATTCAAGTAAAGTTACTATCTACTTAGTTACCTTATAGCACTGTGAATCGGGTGAGCATTTGAAGTCCATTACTAACGGTAAATTATGTTTGAACCTTCAGTATGAAACTTTCCCATTTCCCTTATTTGATGGCCCCCCAATCCTTGTTTGACCTGGAAATTGTTCCACTCTGCCATAATGAAGAATACTATTTGTTCTCTGAGGATTGAGGGTCAAGCAGCGCAGACAGATCTCTGAGGAGAGATGAATGAGGATACATGGGAGCAGCCTTGAGGTCATTTACCAGGCCAACACACCCCATTAATATACATCTGACTGGACCATGCAGCTGGTCAGAATGCTGCAAATCACCCCCATTCTTCAAGAAAATCAACAGAATCAAGTTTTAGATTTGATTTCACCCCTCTGGTTGGAAAACTTTTTTCCTTGAGTAATGTCCCTTGACCTGCTTTACCAAAAATCAAGAGAGCATTGTATCTCTATGATTTCTGTGTGTGTGTAAGATTGCAGGTAAAACGAGGGGTCTGTTTAGCTGACATCCGTCTCTAATGGCATATTTCCACTACACGGTCGGCCTCGGCCACGCTCGGTACGGCTCGGTACGGCTTGGCCTTAACAGGGCCGACTCACTTCATGCTGCGCTTCCATTACAGTTTAGGAACTGGGGTAGTTACTATAGTAACGCAGTGTAGGCGGAGCCGTGACGTCATCTTCAATGAGAACCCCAGAAAAACAACACAGCCGTTAGCTGTTAGCACTCAGAGCTCACAGCTCCTCATATATGTTCAGAAACTAGACAAAAGTTAAACAAGTACAAACCACAGACTGCCTGTGTCATGGTGAATACAGTCGCTGCTTTATTTATGTCTGTATAGGCCGTTGTTGTGAGTGTGGACGGTCGGAGCATATACTGCGTTAGCTTAGCCAATCTCCATCTAGAAAAATACGCATTTTAAAAGGTTTTTCGCCTGCCGTCTGTCTGCAGACTTGTCAAAGCATTAATTCATGGTTTTTACTAACCGGTATCAGTATGTTGTTACTTCGGCATCATTTTGAAACGTGTATTACAATTAAATCACGGTCAAATATGTCCATCTTGTTGTAGTTGTAGCCCCCTTGCCAGCGCTCCTCTCTCTAGTTTAGCATACTCAGCCCGACTCAGCCCTGTTTGTTGGCGTCGATAGAACCACAATTATCTCGGGCCAGAAAAGACGTGAAAAAGTGGCCCCGGGCCGGGCCGGGCCGGAACTAGGCCTAGTGGAAGCGCAACCAAAAACGGGAACGGCACGACACGGCACGCTTAAAGCGAGCTCCGCGCTGTAGTGGAACTGCGCCATAACACCCATTTTACATATAGCATTAACATGCCTCTCCACATGTGTCTTAAATGGCTACTTGATACTGTACTAGATCTACCTTAATAAGAATATAATTATGTTATGCAAAGACCAAATGCAATGTTGTTTTTAACTGGTAAGGCAGCAGTGCACTTCATATATGCCAGAAATAAGTATAACAAGTAATACAAATCACTCAATGTGTTAAACACACTCTAAAGGCCATCTTGATACAGCCGACCTGGCCTACATGTGATTCATTTATTACCTTGATAAGGAATGTAAGGGTAAGGACAGCTCATATTTAAATATGACTGTTTTACTGTCAAAAAGCAGGAGAGAACATGTATTCCTGAGAATGTTTGGTCAGTTAGAACCGAACTTAACTCCTACTCTGAAGAGCTTGATAAAAAGCATGGTAATGTAATGTAATTAATGTAATCAGATTCATAAATGTAGTTTCATCTAGACACACACAGAGGCAGATGGTATTAACATACTCTTTCAACAGTTTTGCAGAAACAAAGCACACTTCATAAAATACTTTAAATGCAGCTGCCTCAGAATCTCCATCAGCTCCACCCAGTGAAGCCAGCATGATCCATCCCACACATTTAGCTAACCCTGGTTCACATCGGCTTCCAAACACCTTTTGACTTCAGTTTTTTATTTCTCTTTGACTGCACTATGGTTGTATTGACTGGATTTCTTTCACGTAGCAGTGGGCATGTTCCCCCGGCATGAAGCGTCTTGCTGTGCTTGCTGCATGACGGTTGCTCCGGTCATTGGTCTTTTCATCTCCATGGGTTTGCACTGGAATAACGGTAATGTAATGTTGAAACTCCAGTTGAAGAAGTGCTGGACCAAAGGGGCTAATGAGGGTTCCTGGTGTGTGTGTTTCCATGAATATCTGTGTATGGCTGTGCATTCTTTTGTGTGTGTATGTGTGTATGTGTGTGTGCGTGTTTGTGTGTGTTTCAGAACGCCTTCACCCCACTGACAGACGCGAAAACTCGGAGCCATGCCGACGATGTGGGGCTCGTGCTGTCCTCTCTCCAGGCTAGTATATACCGGGGAGGCTACAGCCGCTTTGCTCCCTATTAGCAACACCTCCAACCTGAACCCAACCTTCCAACAGCACAGAAAGTGTGTGCGCGAGAGTGTGTGAGCGAATGAAACCACGAGTTATCAGAGAGACGTTACTGAGGCCTGGGTATTGCAATACATGCAGTTTGTGCATCATTTCAGCGTCTTCTAAGAACGAAAAAAAGAAAAAGAAAACGACAGCTGATATTTTTCATCTTATACCTCAGATATTTTGTGCTGTGTATTTTGATATTGTGGGTTTTTAATTTCTAAAGATTTAAACCTAGATTATCAGCTGTAGGTTTTCCATAGAGAGCTGCTAGAGTAATGATGAGACACAAATAAAATATTTATCAGATTCAAATAGTTAGGGCTTGTATAGAACTCCAACCCTGTAAGAGAGTCACTTTTTGGAGTTTTTTTACGTTTTGTTAGTGTTAAAGTGACTCTGCTAGTCAAGTGTTGTTGTTTTTATCGTCTCAGCTTCCTTTGGTACTTCCTCTTTCAGTTTAGCTAGCTTTTTCTCCCCCTTTGGTTTGTGAAGAAGTGAAGAAGCCTTGAAACCCAGGGACAACTTATGAGGGCGGAGAGAGAGAAGCTGAGAACAGCCATTATGCTGTTTGTAAGTTACCTCGAGAACAAGCTTTATTACTTGTGACTGCAACTTTACTATCATAAGCTTATGGTTATTTTGCAAAAAGCAAGATAACAATAATAATACCAAAACAAAATGCTATGTCTGCATAGTCATGGAAACTGCATGTATTGTAGCCCAATTGTTATTGAGTGCGATATGATGTGTTTTTGTTTTGTAACATATGAAATTGCATTGCATTTAAAAAAGGGAAGAAATAAATCATCTAAGTATTTCATAATAACACAATCCCTGCTCTATCTGAAATATTATCCACCGAACTTCCACAAACACCCTGTTTTAAGATTGGCTTGTTTCATACGTTAATTAACCTGAAAATAAAGGTTTAAAATGTGGCTACAGTAGAGTGGTGCAGTGATGACACATTTATGTAGTCCTCGAAAAAAGGCAATAGCATTTTTCCATTGGATTTTGGAATATGCTGACAAAAGCTCTGTAGCAAACACGTTTATGATTCTTAAATGTTTAGCCGCATAATCTACACATATTATCACTTTATTATTTTTGAAGCATAACTGCACTGTCAAGAAGTAGGTATCTAACATTAGGCTATAAAGGAACGACATCGCGGTCCCATGGCAGCGCATCACCACCGCTAAGCTAAAGATTCTGCATTATGATGTTAGACGTTGTTAGCAACCACCGTTTTTTTGAGACGGGTAAAAGCTTCAGACATTCAACAACTGACGTATTTCAAATCGTGGAACAAAACGAGAAATGTATTTTGCCTGTGTTAACCACAGACCTTATTTTGTGGATTTAGGACTTTTTCCAGCACCAGTCCTTTAATCTGTCTGACAGTATTTGAAATTAGGACCAACAGCTGGCAGAAAGTAAACTTGGAGCCAAGAGGTTTCTATACCAGTGCAATCCAATCAAGCAGTTTGTTGCAGTATTTTACTTATTGCTTAATGCTGATTTAGCATCTGATCTAATGAGATATGATTTAGGTCAGTGTGCTCGACATACTGGTCGTTTCTCAATCGCGAGGATATTGGCTTCCAAGCCAATATTTCAAGTATGCTACGTCATTGAGTGCCGCCGAAGGACTGTTCCAATCTCCAGCATACTTGGAATTCCACCGAGGCAGCGTCCTTGGTTTGGGGGAAATTTCGAGGCTGCACATGGGTAGACTTCGCGTCCTTAAAATCCCCACAATGCTTTGCGCATGGACCAATTTCCCCAAATCTGTGGCGGAAGATGTAAGGCGGGGCCTCTCATATGACGCACACCTGCACACTTGCTAGCCTGTTCCACTCTTCGTTTTCCGAATAGCAGGAAGTATTCTTGCCTTGCTTCTGAAGCAAGATGCTCGGCTCGGCTGTGCTACCAAGCCAGCATCCTCGCGATTGAGAAACGGCCACTGATCATGCAAAAACACAATTATTGACTGACAAGATCACCACAACAACTCACACCATCAGCCGCTATGGCTATATTGATTAGACAGGGTGACAATAAATCTGGTTTAAATAAAATCATCTTGCAATCTTTAAGTCAAAGAGAGACTTAAAACCTTTTGGTGAATGCAATGTGTTTTCATAAACCACCATTCTTTGTTTGATATTCCAAAAATATAACACGTTTTTGTAAAAAGGGCATTTCTGCTTTTTTATCTTGATAAAGGGGGTCATTAAGTTGTGATCACTTAATAAAACATGCAAGTCTACAACAAGTATTGGCAGTCCCAGCTGCTCTCAGCTTCCATAGATAGTCCAGGTTAGTTTAGTTTCCTCCTAGGGAGAGAATGGTGTGAGTCAGTACATTATGCAGCCGGGTATTTACTGACTGAATCCTGTGCTAATGTCTTACACCACTTCATGCCAAAGGGTCTGATGGAAATATCTGCCGTGTGTGTGCGTACAGTGAAGATTTTACATAGCTATAAATTAGGAGAAAAAAAATTGCCATGGCAACTAAACTGTTCAACTATTTAATTGCTTGGTCCATACGCTGTGAGCTGCAAAAGAGTAAGCTCCTCATTAAAAAACTTAAAAACTTAATTTAATATGACCAATTAGAATTACTGCTGGATTATAAGAACAAAGTCAGGATCCTGGAGAAGTCAAACTTTAAATCAAAGAATTTAAAGATGTATTATTTTGTGGCACTAATTCTCTTCCGTACTGAGTAGACGTAAAGGTTTTTTATATAAACTTCCAATATATTCATTGGTATAATTGATGACTTTTATATTACAGAAGAGATTTAAAAAAAATATATAGCAGTGGCCAAAGCCACTGTGTCTATTTTATCTCTTTGTTGATTTTGTTGCTTTTTTTTCTTTCATTACTACATTTTAAGAGGGATAAAGTACAGTATAATAATCCAACAATGTATTATATTTGAACTGTGCAGTGAAGATGTTCTCTTATATGAAATACACAATGGTATAATGTTTTAGATTTAGAAGAGTAGATCAGTTGTTAGGGCGAGCTATCTCATTTTCTATCGCATATCCTGATTTTTATTAACTCTTTACAAATGATGTAACCACAATCTAGATTCTCACACATCGATTTTTTTTTGTCAACTGTACCATTTTGCACACGTCCTTTTCAGATAAAACTGAGACATATCAGTGCTGTAATCTTTCTTAACTTCTTTTCATTTCTGTAATGTCTTTCTCTTTTCTCTCATTCTTAATGTGACATCCTTTCTGTTATTTTCTAGAACTCAAACTTTGCTCTTTGAAAATTAACTGTTTGAATATTATAACACTAAATAAATATGAGAATTTGTGAACAGGCTAATCTACAGTATGATGTAAATAGAATTAATGGAATACTAGTGTATTTGAAAAGCACTACACGTATCAGGACTCTGATACAGCTGCACTGTAAGCCAGCCCGCTTCCTGTGCCACATTCTGTTTACAACTATTCCCAATAAGTGGTGTTGTTACATATCTCCTTTTTTGTATTTATAACACATTAGATAGGATCAACTCTCAGATGCATCACATACAGAAGGCAGCAGTCAGAGCCTCGACGGTCCCCCCCCCCCGTGTCCGTCAGAAACAGGACCACTCGTTGTCCTCACTATGCTGAATGTCTGACTCCTCAACTACTTTATACAGGCTCTGCAGTAGGTGTTGTGGTTCAAAACAAGGCTTCCTACCCAGTCATTGTATGTGCATGTACTATGGTTCTTCCACTAATCAATAACCATCAATAAAGTTTTGTTTTCTCAATATGTTCCAGGCTGTCTGCTCTTTTTTTGAGTGGAGACAGCCTCAAAGAAAGATTCACAAGCTAGCCAGATTGCATTAAGTATGAATGTGGTGTTAATACTGCGCAGTCAGTAACGTGCATTGAAGTCAATGCATGGAGAGGCATTGGCTATACTGAGAGCCAGAAATACAACATTTGAGTTAGCTTAAATGTACTATTTAACTGGGAGTTTGCACAATAACTAGTCTTTTGGTTAGGCGACTGTGTGATGTACACTACACACGCACATGCCTACAGGTAAATTATGGATTAGATTAAAATTGTATAGGCTATCAGTGTTGGAGGATGTACTCAGATATTTTACTTCAGTAAAAGTAGCAATACTACAGCAATACTACAGTGAAAAAATACATTTCACAGGTAAGGGAGGCGTGTGGCGCAGTGGATAGAGCCTTGGTGTTGGGATCAGGGGGTCACAGGTTCAAACCCCACTGCAGTCAGCATGTCGTTGTGTCCCTGGGCAAGACACTTCACCCCAAATTGCTCCTGTGGGGATTGCCCACAGTATTTAGTATGTAAGTCGCTTTGGATAAAAAGCGTTTAACATGTAATGTAATGGAAAATCCATCAATCAAATTTGTACTCAAGTAACAGTACAAAAGACAGGCATTACAAATTCCTTAAAACTTATGTTCATCACTTTAATGTTGGATCTAGTTAAGATAGGGTTTTCATTTAATTATTGTATTTACATTTAACCTATACAAATGCAACTGTTTCAACTGATTCAACACAGATGAAAATATATATTGACCTTAACTTGTAAATCAAGTCTATTGGCTTACCTCTCTGGACAAAGATGTATTTGATTTCCTTGTAGAAGTCCTTTTTTTTTGTTTTAAAAGTCTCTCCTTCTCAATAGAGATGATTTCCAGGGATAAAGGTGTTTTGCTGGAGCTGGCTAACGTGGAGGTGAGTAGATGTGATCGCTGCCTCCCCCGGGCTTTTTCCTCCCAGTTTCATGACAAGATTTTCATGCTAAGACCATCGGGGCAGCAGTAGTTCAGTCTGTAGGGACTTGGCTTCGTGACTGGAGGGTTACCGGTTCAAGTCCCAATCAGACCATACAAAAATAAAAGTGGGGACTGATAACTGGAGAGCTTTCAGTGCTCCTCCTGGGCACTGCTGAGGTGTCATTGAGCAAGGTAGCAAACCCTGAACTGCTCCCTGACGCCGGGCAGACTGGCAGCCTCATCGCTCTCGACACCTTTCTAAAATGCTTGTGCATGTGTGCACCTATGTGTATTTGTACTGTGTTTGTGTGTATTAAAAAATATAACACAATTTAAAATCAATAAAGGTTCATCTTAAACGTAATCTTTTACACATATGTGTAACAAGTTACCTGGAATATGAGAAGGGGGTATAGGCGGCGCGTGAGGCTCAGGTTTGGGAAGGCTAAATAACCTTTTTTACCTGACGCTGCCCGCCTCCAGCGTTTATCGTTTTTCCAACCCAGTTTAGATTTAACCACGCCTACTTCCGCATTACGCAAGCATCGATGTAGCTCTACGCGATAGCGTCATTGACGTCATCTTCGGCAGCCGGTGTAGCAACCATGCTTAACAAAAAAAAAGCTCCCATGGCCTGTACTACTAAGCAGGATTTGCGGTTAGCGAGGTAACTTCAGGGTTAACTCTGAGTTTTCTGTCCTACAACGCTGGTTCACTTTTTACCGGGGTAGATCTCCATGGTAACTTATGCTGTGATTCCAGATAAGAGATCAACTCAGTGAAAGCACCGCCTGCTGACCAATCAGAGCTCACCGCCTCCTGACCAATCAGAGCTCTGTGTGCGGAGTTTAAAGCTATCAAGTCATATTCAAGGATAAAGGAAATACAGTTTAAACTGCCGTATGCAGGGAAGACGCCGACGTGTCGCACTTATCATTCATATCACATCATCAATCATCATCGATCATATAATATCATAATATATTTCCTTATTTGAGTCAGCTTCTTGACCCGTATCTGGCCGTGCAACACTTACAGTGTCACATACTTTATGCAGAAGTATTATTTTAAGCAACACATTAAGTTGACGAAACACTCGAGTCAAATGTAATTAAAGTCAGATCCACTCGTGTCTTAGACGGGGCAGTGATATCATAAACCTGTTAATGTACGCATTCAAACTAGTGTTAATTTTGTTGACTAAAACTATGACGAAATATGTTCGTCAACGACCTTTTTTTCCATGACAAAAACGAGACGATGACGAGACGGCACCGACGGCAGTAAACAATAACTGTAACGAAATCATCATGCAATATCGTTGACGAAAAGTGACGAGACGAAAATGTAGTTTACTAAATAAAAACTATGCCAAAATCTCTCTTTACTTTCGTTGACGAAAAATGAGGAGACGAAATATTATCAAAGATAACGTTACATCTCTGATAGTCAGTTTTTCTCCCAGCAGTTCAATTTCCGGTGCTGCGGCTGGACAGCAGCTGTGTGTCTGTGCCGCACACAGACGGCGGTACATTTGAATTACACCGGGCACCGGCACAATATGAACTGTCAGGAAGACTCGGGTCTAACTCATGGTCTAACTAACCTTATTTAACAGAAAATAAAATGGCAACAACAGGGCTTGGGAGCAGGAGCGGGGGGTATTCGGTTAACGCCCCCCGTCAGCGCGAGTGAGTGATACATTGTGCACTCGACGGGTAATAATGGATTATGACGGAAATGTTACGATCCTGTCCGTCAAAATGACTGACAACGAAAAAGTCTAAAGCCACCACTGCTTGGGAGAAAGAAACAATGTGATATTTGGGCCCATTTTCGCTACAATGAGG